ATTTAAATTAATTTAACATAATTTAATGAACAATGACAATCGATAGTCGATAACAGTTTTTACGTTATGCAGCCAGAGGGAAATACAATATTGAGTACTTTGGATAGTCATATTCATAAAATATAACACCAATACATTTGCATAATAGAAGCCAAGCGAGCACTAAATGGTCGTTAAGCAATAACAATCGATAGCTTACAACAGTTATTCTAAGAGGCATTCATAAGAGAATGCAAATCTTCGATAGTCGACAGCTGGCAGCATAAGGAATATCGGTAATTCTCAAAATAGAACCACTTGAGTAGTCCGTCACTATCGATAGCTGCCAATCGATATCGATAAATGACAATAAGACATACTTTCTGTTGGACAATTCCGTTTGACTGCAGAACATAAGAATTCTGTGTTCTACCGTCTGGCGACCCATCGCCACGGCTCGAAACTTGCTCGGCCACGCCCCCCATAATGCCCACAATCATTCAATTAAAAAGTGCATGCCGCGCAATTAATATAATTTTCGAGCAACGAAAGCGAAGCTAAAAGTTTCTCGGTCTGCTGGCTCGATATGTGCGTCTGTCTGCCGAGTGCATGGATAGGTGCTAGCTGCTTGGGCTGTGGGCGGTGCGGTGCGGTGCGGTAGAGGCGTCGCTGCCAGTAGGCGGTCTGACAACGATGTTGGCAGCTGCATGGAAAACTTGGAAAAGTTTTTAAGTGACTTCTAATAGCGAATTATGATGGGGCGGCTGGCGGCAAATGGGGGTCCTGGGTTTCCGCTAAAAGGAAGGCGGCCAATTTTCAATGCAATGGCTGCGGTTGCTTGAGAGCAGGCAGGATGGGAGAGGGGGTGGGGGGTATATGGAGACTGAAGTGGAGGCGTAGCTGCTGGCATAGCAAAAAGTTCACGCTTAAAACTTGGACGATAACTTCATTGTAGTGCACCGCAAGTGACACACACACACATGCACAGTGTGAATGAGAGAAAGCGCGATAGAGAGAGAGAGAGAAAGCGATAAAATAAGTAGAAGTGTGATGGAGAGAATCGTGCATAAGCAGAGCGCACTTTTAACAAAGTTATTTAGTTTCTTCCTTCCGCTGCCGGCTCATGTGTGCGTGTGCATGTGTGCGTGTGTGTGTGTGTGTGCGTCTTCTGATATAATAACAAAGTGCACTTTGACATTATCATCATCAGCGCATGTCGCCGTCGCTGTCATCAGCGTAAGCAGCAGGCAACCAAAAGCTGCCACGCCCACATAGCTCCGACCATGCGTGGGCGGGCCACCCTCTCCGCCTGGCGCCTCCCCCCTTCACACGCACAACCCAAAAAAGTTGCACGTTTTAATGAATTATGCGTACACTGATAATAATTTCTTGGTTAGTTTTGCGCCCAACTTGAGCATTGCAATGCGCCGCCCAGACACCAGCAACGCCCCCGTCCACGTCCACCCGCACGCCCATGGCCACGCCCACTTGCACACGCATACGCCGTGCCAGCAGCAACAACAATCTGCAGGAATATAAAAGTTTTTGCACTTTTAATAAGGCGACGTTTATGATGTTGAAAATGAGGATGTTTCTCGGCTGTCGCTTCCTTCATAACTCCAACGGCGACAAATGTCAAAAAGTCGTCAACCCGCTGACAAAAGTTTCCAGAGCCTGCGAAAAAGCAAAGTCGAAATTTTCGCCAGCATCCGCGAAGCGAGCGAAACCGGAGCCAGGCGACTCAGTTCTCTATGGGAAAGTTTATGGAAAGAAAAGCGCGAAAAAAAGAAAAGTGAATGCGGTTGAATACTTAACAGGCAGACTGCTGAGATACCCTAGATATTTAGAGGTGTGTTAAATGAATAGATATAAGTGTGTATGTATGCTCCAACATTTGGATTCGCTGAGTCTTTTATTTAGAAATAGTCTGGCTGGATAAAGATACAGATTGATGTTAAAGCACCTCTTGAACTCGGAGTAGCTTGAGGAAGGTATATTAGTTCGTTAATCATGTTGTTATAATCCAGTTATCAGTCCTGACACGCCACTGAAGTCTATGAGATGCTCAGATATAGTTAATAGGTTATGCTCCAATTGCCAGATTGTATTTTTTTTTTTTTTTTTCGTTTTTGTTTATAGAAAGCGCAAACTCTAAGATAAATGAATGGATGAATTATGAGATATAAAAACAATGAATTAAATGCCTATTTACCGTTGTATGAGATTGCAAGCCGCGCTTATTGCTGCAGAGTGCTCTCCGAATCATTGGAGTCACTGTCTTCTGAGGACATAAATTCTACTATATTATTCGGTATGGGCGTGATCGATCTATAGTTCGGATCGGTTAGCCATTCCACATAATCCGGGAGCGTGTTTTCGTCATTGACGTCAAAAATAGAGTATTGCTGTTCGGCATTCGGCTCGGCAAGGCCTTGTTCGGCGCCTGCCAACTGAGTGACTTGTCTATTGAAATATATATGTATGTGTGTGCATTAATGCATTGGAAGAATCAAATTGAATTCACTTGATATATGTTTAATTTTGGTGGCTAAAAGCTTACTGTTCGTTAGACCCGTTAGCCGGCACTAGATTGGCCTCCGAATTGGTAAGATTTTTCCGCTGGGCCCTCAACATCCTCCGCCTGATCCGTGCTTGACATTGCTTGCATCTATGCTTACATTTCCTCCCCATTTTAATAACTGCAGCACTGCGGACATTGAGCTTTTTCTTGCAATTCTCCTTATGCTTCTTCGGTGCCATATTGAGAATAAAACAAAAAAAAAAAATATTACACACTCGACGTTGAAGTTTTTCCGGATGCTTGTCAATTGATTTTAACACGTGAAAAACTTGCAAAGGCAAAGCGTCAAGGAACGTGACAGAAAAAACAGAGCTGACTAAGTCATTAATTAGACCACATGATCCCAAGTGGGTAGTGTTAGAAATCAATTCAAATTTTTGACCTAACAGACTATTTACCGACTTGTTAACAGATTATGTAAGAAAATATAGAATATATTGTAAAAGTGGTGGAGTGAATCAACAGATGTGGAGTGAGGGGACTATTATGATGATGGAATGAGATGAAAGGACATGGGCATGGCTTCAGATGTTCAAATTAGCCTTTGTAATCCATGGAAAATCTGAATGCATGGTATAATGGCAGCAGGAGGCGTGGCATAAAGTATTTATGTTCTTGATCAGGATAGCGAGATGAGTCCATTTAGTCCTGCCCGTCATTAGACTTGCGCTCCCTTAGTCCAGCAGAGATATTATTAGAGATGAAACCCTGGCCGGATGATATGGTGGGTCTCTCTCTCTCTCTCTTTCTGCCATAGATCAGACATAATCTATGCTAAAAATAAAGAAGTTTTAAAGCCCCATTAACAACAGTTACATTAGCAGCTATAGCCGTTCCTCTGATAACCGTATATACTATATAGCTTATCTTTACAATATCTTGTGCAATCATCTGCCACTGTAGACGATTAATTCGGCTGGCTCGTAGAGCTCGTTTCTAGCAGCATTATTATCAGATTAGGGACCATTATAGAGGTACACATATCGTATATTACAATGGCTATAAACTAAGTGTGAAGTCTGAAGATAGAGCAGAAAGAACTCTTCGGAACATCGCGATAAACAGCCTGACTCACATAACTATCTGAATCGCTCTAGCAATGTGAAGTGGCGAGCAACGCCGTTTCATTTCAGCCAAGAATAGCATGCGGCCAATTTGCAGCTCAACTCAAGCTGCTCACTTGGCTCAGCTTAACGTGACTTCCGACAATATCGTGATTTCCTTGGCAAAAACGTTACGCAAAGTCCACGTATCATTTCATTCTACAGGTGTGCATATCTCACACGATATATGTGTGTATTTAGTAGGCCGACAGAAAGGCAAACACGAAGAGTAAGAAGAAGGTGAGCGAGTGAGCGAGTGAGCGACCCAGTTGCCGGAGCTGTCGCAGCAGATCGGCTAACGCATATATCACGGATGTGGGACAACGACGCGCTATCAGCGATGACATCTGACATATGCATCAGCTACGTGACGTCGTCATTGTCTGTCGCATTGCTCATACGCCGCAGTGTCCAGCCGTCGTTTTCGTTATCGTCGCCCCATAAAGTGTCGCGATAGTCATAAAGATTAACTCGCCTAGTCGTCGTTTAGGCCCAAAATATGCGTGCGTGCGTGCGTGTGTACGAGCGAGGGAGCGAGCGACCGAGGGAGTGCCGGAGTCTCTGCATCTCTACGCGCTGTCGGCCCTCTGATTGTTATCGTCCGGGCATCCTTTGGCGCAATTAAATTACCCATTTCACTCAATTAAAAGCCCATTGAGTGCTGACCTTCAGCAACCTTTGTCGTTGCCGGGGCACGTCTAATGCAATTAGTAGCATCCCGCTTTGCAACAAACAACTCAATTACAACAGTTGAGGGCTGATAAAAACTCCCTCTATGGACGGCTGGGTTTTGCTTTTGGCCAAGGCTAAGTATTCACGTGAGTGAATTTCGGCTCGCAGAATGTCAGCGGAATTCACAATTGATATCGCCGTAAATCGTTATCGCTTATCACTAATCATAACTCGGCTATAAGCGATTCATAAATTGGGCCCAACAACTGATGTGATACTTAACAATTTCTTATCAATGTTCCCAATTGTTGTCATTGATCCCAATACAATTTATGAGTCATCAGCGATTTTTAATTGAAATTCCTTCTTCGTCTTTCGCTGATTTATCGCTCTCTCTCTCTCTCTCTCTATCTCTCTCTCGCTCTCTCTCTCTCTCTATCTCTCTCTCTCGCTCTCTCTCTCTCTCTCTATTTCTCATACTATGTCTCATATTCTTGATATCTCTTTATCTATCTCTATTTCTTTTTAATCTTCCTTCTTTTTCCATCCTTCGCGTTATCTTTCCTTCATGTCTTTTTCTTCTCTATTTCTCTCTCTCTCTCTCTCTCTCTCTCTCTGTTTCACGTTCTTTCTATATCTGTCTCATTCTCTGTTTCTCCTCTTTCTATTTGTCTCTCAATGTTTTTCTAATCTTTTTTGAATCTCTCGTTTTTTTTTCTCCGTATGCTCTTCACTCTATCTCTTTTCTGTATTTTTTAATATCTTTTCTCTCTCTCTCTGTTTCACGTTCTCTCTATATCTTTCTCATTCCCTGTTTCTCCCCTTTATATTTCAATGTATTTCTGATCTTTTTTGACTCTCTCTCTTTTTCTCTTTCTCTGTATTTGTTTTTACTCCTTCGCTTTTCTCTCTTTTTTTTGTCTTTTCTTCTTTCTCTTTTTTCCTTCCTTTTCTTCTCTCGCTCCCTCTCTCCCCCTCACTGACGTTTTCAGTATTCCTCTATTTTTATCTATCTTTTTTTCTCTCTCTGCCTTATGCTTCTTTCCCTCTCTCTATATCACGTTTTTTTCTGTACGTCTGTCTCCCTCTCATTTTCTTCCATCTCTCTCTCTCTCTCTCTCTCTCGCTCCCTCTCATTTCCCTCTGACAAATTCTTCTTGTTTGTTTAATTGTGCTTCAAGTATGACTCAAGCCTTTTGGTTATTTTTAGCTTTGTGTCTCTGTAGCTCATCATCATTTAAGTCCAACTAATGCTGTCAAATGATCATACAGTCGGAGATTTACATATGTATGCATATATCGATAATCAATCACAGCTCTTATAATGCATATTGATTATGCTTAGATATATGCCCTGCACATCGGGCATAGCGAATACAACACGTAAAGTGTAAAGCAGAGAATAAGTTAATATATAAAATATAAACCATTGTAGTTTAGGTGAATAAATAGTTATAGGCACCAGAGATCAAAATTCCGGTGATAGTTGATAGATTTTAAATGAAGACTCGATCCAGTCAGGCTAGAGGGCTATGTCGTCCGAGTCTTTTCCTTGTTCTAGAGTAGGTGCTAGTAGATTTTTGGGTTGTAGCAGGTAAACGCCGAGCCAAGATGTTTTAAGTGAGATACAGGTTGAAATATTTCGTTATACATACTTTAAGCTTCTTCTTTATAGGTTAATTAAATATTAATTATAATATATTTTGTGAATCTTGAGAGTTATATATAAATACTATACATATTAGGGAATTATCAAATTTAGCTGTACTGTTATTATATTCATATCTGAAATGAGTTGCTGGAAAATAAGTTTGCATATGAAAAAAATGAGTTTCTTAAAGATATTTTAGCTTACGATCCCCTGCCATTGACTAGGGTATTCAATGTTCCGCTTGTCATAGTTCACATTTCTTTCCTGTTTCTTTTCTTTGGACTGTTAACGATCATAGCTTAAGTATATGTTTTAGATTAATGATAAGGCATTTTCGGTGTGTCAACGAAACCTTGACTATTCTGTAGTTGCAGTGAGCGTTGAGTTGGATGATGCAACATTTGTTGCAAGGCGCCTGCAGCCCATGATCCGCGTGCGGTTGCATAATAGCTAAACAACACTCAGCAGCAGCAGCAGCAGCAAAAGCAGCAAAAGCTAAGCCCAAGCCAAACACCTTACGGCCAGGTGACTGTGTGTATGTGTGTGTGTGTGTGTGTGTATGTGCACAACAAGCAAACACTTTGACCCATACCCAAAACCCAGTAGCCAGAAGCCGTAGCTGACATCGAGTTAGAGCTGGAGATGGCGAGCGATGGAGTGGCTGATGCGGCTGCAACTGCTGCAACCTGTTTCCTGATTTTGGGAATGGCGCAAGGCACACACACACACACACACACACACACACACACGACTCCTCTCGCCTCTTCTTCTTCTTCTTCCCCCTTTCTCTCCCTCAAAATGGTATTACTTAATTATATTTATTCGGCTGTGCGACAAGAAGATTTGCTGCCTGTCATTTGGCTCTATGCAAGCAATTTCCTAAACCCGACAGAAACTCTGATTACATATGCTTCTGACGTCAGTTTTTCTCTCCGTTTTTTTTTTTTTTTTTTACGAATGTATGTGTTTTGAAACAAAGTGAGGGGCGGACAGTGTAAAAGCATACGCTGGTTGCACTATGGGGCGTCAAAGTTGAAGATGCCACAGCTCGGGGCAGCTCTGGTTGCCGAGTGTTAATGGGAAAATTGAAAATCCATTTGCTGATTAATTTCTCACAATACCAAAGCGCTTGCCGAATTCGCATTTACGTAAATGAACTTTTTGCATTTGTTGTTGCTGCTGCTGCTGCTGTTATTTTTGCCATTGCAGCCAACGAGTTGGGAGGTAAAAGTTTGTTTGCTGTTTGTCGCCATCGCTTCGTTTTTTTCTCCTTTTTTTTGCCAGTTGACAAAAGTGTTTTCGCATGCGTTGCCAGTTTTTTAGCTCACCTCCTCTGCTGCTGCTGCTGCTTCTTCTTCTCGCCTATTTTTTTTCACGAATTTACATGGGAAACTGTGAAAATGGCAAATGCAATCGATGGCAAGCTAAACATATTTGCAAATAGTTTGCCGTAGCCGATGCACACTTGAAGCTTTAAAGAGCTTGAGCGTGGAGCTTTCTAATAGAGCTTTCACTTAAGGCCTGTTGAATTATTATATTTTCTTTTCTTTTTCTAAATTCACTGTATCAGACCATGCTAGTACTTTTAATCTTTCCGATCGATTGGTTACACAGTGCGGCTCTGCTTCTGGCATGCTTAATCGACCTATACGATAATCCGATAAGTGATCTCGATAATAGAAGAAGCTTTGATACTTCCTCCGATAGGAATTTAAATTGAAAAATATGCCAAAAAATGTTAAATGGGTTTTCAATAAGGAAAATGGTTTTTCATGATAAAATCTCTCTATTTTGCATAGGC